GTGCGCTCGTTAAGCGAGGCACCACTGTATTTCTTTTTCATGTGATAGCCTTTGCCTCACATTTAGTGCAAGTTAACATTCTGAGTTTTTTGCTTGCCTTCAAGAATCTTGAAGATAGTCACCTCACTCCAGATGTCTTCAATGAACCTTGTGCAATAGGCAAAATTGATTATTGTAATGTATCTGCCTGCACAGTGTAATATTCCCTGAGTAATACAACTCTTTTTGTGGCAGTATTTAGACACTGTAAATCCTTAGACTCAAGGGCTAATGGCAAAAATTTACAGGAGTAGTCTTATTTTGTCTGCCTTGTTTTTAAGGAATGCAATTCATGTTTTAATTTTTTACTTAATCTTAAGTATGGTGTGGAGAAAAATCAAATTGATTTAAATAAAATATGATTTTTTAAAATTTAAAATGTCAAATTAGATTTTAAAAAAAATTAAATCAAATCCACCATGTTAAATATTCACTTGCTAATTTTACTGGCTGTTCTCCAGTTCAGTTTGGATTCAACTGCAATCTGTTGCTTAAAAATTAAAAAGGTGAAGTTTCTTTCATTTTTATACAGTGGTGCCTCACTTAGCAATGTTAATTCGTTCCGAAAAAATCGCTGCTAAGCGATTTCATCATTAAGCGAAATGTGGTTTCCCATTGAAATGCATTGAAAACTGAATAATCCGTTCCAATAGGAACGAATTGCCGTCCTTAAGCAAAAATCGCCATAGGAAACATCGCTAAGCGAAACGTGGTTCTCCTATTGAAATGCATTGAAACGTATTAAATGCATCTCAATGGGGGAAAAATACAACAACAAATTAAAAAAGAGTCAGAACAAAGTCAATTTTGGTTAACAAAGGGTTTATTAAGTGCACTTTATGATTTCAAACATTTTAAACAGTAAACTTTAACTTTATAAATAACAGAAAAGCATTTAAAAACAGCAAACATGAGGCTGGTTAAACCATTGTTAAGCGAAACAGGGGACCCAAAATTTAATCGCTATGCGAAGCATGATCCCAACCATCGCTAAGCGAAAATTGCCCATAGGGACCATCGCTAAACGAAGCGCAAAAACACTCCGAAAAAGTTGTCGCTAAGCAATTTCATCACTAAACGGAGCGCCCGTTAAGCGAGGCACCACTGTATTTCTGTTAGGGGAAAAAAGCCTGCTTTAATGTCTATGGCAGGTATAATTGAAAACCACAGAAGGAAGGTCCTTTTAAACAGAAACTCTAAAGTCCTGATGCCAGTGACTGGTGGTAAGAGGTAACAGTGGGTATAAGCTTTCTGTAAATGTAAAAGCCTCCAATAAGCTGACTGCTTCATCTTAAATGTGGCACATGGACTATGCCCAGAGTCAGGTGCTTGGCTGGTTATCTTAACTATGCATGGGGGATTTTTATCTCTCAAGCCTTTTGAGACTTAAAAAGTCCTCTTTAAATTAGGGAACCATCTAGAGTGGTCTTAATCGACTAGATAGGCGTGATATAAATAGAATAAATATATAAATAAATAAATAAACCTTGTAAAATAGCTCTCTCAAGACTTAAAGGGCTACTAATAGAAAGAAAGTAAGAGTAATATATTTGTATGGAAATTCTTTTTGTGCATGCAGACATGTGTGCCTTCCTAGATCCTATCCAGTCTATGGACACGTGTGGAAGCAAAAGTCAGGTTGGGAATAGTCAAGGTTCTTTAAATTCTTTCTGTTCTTCTGAGAGCTGGGGATGAGGTAAACCCCTCTATAAAGTACACTTGCAGTTTTGTAACAAAGCATAATTCATCTTGCCTTGTGTACATGGTAGAATTTTCCCCCCTTTACAGTTCTTATTCTGCATGGTATGAGATAATTTTCTTGACTATTTAATGCTGGCTTATATTTGAATTCAGCTCATGGAAATTTTTAACAACTGTGCTTATGAGTTAAAAAAGTGCTAAAATGTCTGACTATCTATGTGTGTCTATATGTAATAGAATAATGTAGCAGGTAGGTCTGACAAAGAGTTTGCACAAAATTGTTAATTTGCCCTGTGCTAGAGATTAATGGGAGATTTGAGAAGAATTAAGCAAACCTTGTCATTTTTAGTTTTATGTAAATATAAATAAGCATTAAAATGGCTTCTTAAGAACATCAGAAGTATTGTATGCCACATAAATATAAAAAGCAAGAAATGTACAGCATTTCTAATACTACTCATTCCTTTCTTACATTTACTACAGGTTTCTGGTCATCTTACACTTGTATTGTTCATAGTTTCCTGGTTAAAGTTGTAAAATACATTACTTGGTAATATGCTCTGACAGTTTTTAGTACAGGTTTCAAATAACAGGTGTTACAATACAGTATGAGAAAGGTTGGATCTAAAAATAGAGAGGTTGATCTTTTCTTGCACACGAGGGCTTTCCACATTCTCACTTCAGTTCTTTGTCCCAACTAGGCCTTTTCTGGAGGGTATAGATGGGAAAATCAGGGAAGTTCACATGGTTTATGGGGAAGTACCTTTGTGCACAAGACATCTTTTGTGCAGATACAAGTTCCCTGTCCGGCTTTTTAATTTTCATTTAATGTAGATTTTTTTTGTTAAAATCATGATGTACATTGATTTGATTTTTTTAAAATCATTGATTTTTCTCCTCCCTGCCCATGAAAAAGGTGGGATTTCTCCAGACAAATCTCACATTCCCCCTCTAGAAGCTCACCCAGATTTAATTGACTAATTGTAGTTTTGATTTTTTTTAAAGTTTTGATTTTTTTTAAAGCTTTTGTAACTAGCCTATTTGACAGGTGTACCACATGAAGTCCAAAATATGGGAATGCCTGGTAATACACATTTGCAAATATATGCAGTTTTCTCTTACATCTTATTGTGCTTTTTGGTCTTGTGTTTTCAGCCAAGTATAAAGCTGGCAGACAAAGGGTCTAAGTTTGTCAAACCTATGACCCTTTAACCTCTTCCTCCTGCTGGGAGTTCCATATACGAATGTTTACTGTGCCACTTACATCTGTGCTGGAGCATAGTTATCAAGTTTTTGTTTTTATAACGTTTACTTTTTTAAAAAAATGATGATGCTTTTCAAGAAATACCAGAAAGTTGCAGCTTTCAGACTGCATTCTTAGATGTAGTATTAGGCAAAAACAGGACCTACAATATTAAGAATGTGCCCATGCAAAAAGTTTCTGAACTTCATTTTTTAGAAGTATTTGTGAAATGGACGGTTCCCACTATTGCACTGTAGTACTTGAGCATATTACTGAAAACTGAATAAAGCACTGGTGTACTTTGAGCCCATACAGTTCTTCTTACTAGCAACTCTTTTGAAGTGTGGTTTACGGCTGGGGTCATGGACAGTAGATAATCAGATATAGGAGTTGAACCAAAAATTAATGGAGAATTGCCTTCTGCTCACACCAAACACCCTGGGACTATAATTAGGCCATTGTAAAAGAGAGAAGAACCAAATGAATATATTCTCGAAGGCTTTCATGGCCAGGATCCGATGGTTGTTGTAGGTTTTTCAGGCTGTTTGACTGTGTTCTGGAGGTTTTTTTTCCTAGCGTTTCACCAGTCTCTGTGGCCAGCATCTTCAGGGGACAGGAGCTAGAACTCTGTGTTCTGGTATAGTGTGTGGGATTGTGTACTTCCACCCCATGCACTACACCAGAACACAGAGTTCTACCTCCTATCTTCTGAAGATGCTGACTACAGACTGGTAAAATGTTAGGAAGAAAATCCTCTAGAACACAGCCAAACAGCCCGAAAAGCCTACAACAACCAAATGAATATACTCTGGCATTTAAGGTACTTTCTTTTTGCCAAAAGAAGAAAAAAAGTTAATAGCCTTGAATAGGAAGTATGTGCCTGGGTACCACTATCATGTTCTGAAACTGAAAGAATATGTGTACCAAGCTGCTCATGAAAGCAGAGCTTTGGCCGCTTGTAGCGAAACTCCTGTAATGGGTGAGAGTTACCGACATTATTCTATACTGGTGTTCACCTGTTTGCATATTTATCTAATGCTTGCATTTGCCTCTTTTTATCTGATGAGTGAAAGACACATGAGTTTCTGAGTGGACGCCTGTGTGTAAAGATGTAGTTGAATTGGAAGGTTTCTGAATGTTGTGAGGCTCTTTGTGGCAACCTCTGCCTTGTGAAATCCAAAGTAGTTGACTACACTTAATACAAATGACTTTTTGCATAATTAATTCTTGCCAATATGACAATGGTGAAGTGATAAAGAGGACAGAGCTTAGAACTACTGTACTGTCATGGAATGAACAAGAATGAATGAATGAACGAACAAGAAGGACCGTCTAACCCCCATTTAGGTAAATTACTGCCCTTCAAAGCAGTGTCATATGTGAAGGGACTGGGGCGTTGAAGTAGGCCAGGGAAACCCCTTTTGTTTCCAGCAGACTCCCATTTGTCTTAGTTTGCTTCCTAGTAACACTTTCCTGTGTACTTTGAACATAGTGAGGGGTCTCCCACCACTTTATGTCCTCCTAAAATGGCATATACAGTGGTGCCTCGCTTAACGGACGCTCCGTTTAGCAATGAAACTGCATAGCGACAAAGATTTTGCGATCGCAAAAGCGACCACATTGCGATGTTTCCTATGCAGTTTTTTCGCTTTGCGATGATCGGCTCCCTGTTTCGCTTACCGATCATCGCAAAATGAAGATTTTTTAACAGCTGATCGGTGGTTCCAAAATTGCCGCCGGGTAAAAAAAATGGCCGCCCTCTGTGTTTTTGCACAGATTCTTCGCATAAGAGGCAGTGAAAATGGCCACCGTATGGAGGATCTTCGCTTTAAGGTAATTTTTTTTGCCCATAGGAATGCATTAAACAGGTTTTAATGCGTTTCTATGGGCTTTTTAAAATCGCATAGCTATGAAATCGCTTAGCAGCGATTTTTGCTGTATGGATTAACGTTGCTATGCGAGGCAACACTGTATTATGCATTACATATCTAAGTACCTCTCTTTCAAGCTCTCATTTAATATTTTATCCAGGTAATCTTGTGTTCTGCTTTTTAAATTTCGTTTTGCTGCGTTTTTTCTACATCTTGATTTTTACATAATTCAGGATGTAGGTTAGTAGTAATACAATAACAATTATATTTTCTCCATCCATTTTAATCCCCTCCCCTTTTTTTACTGTACAGAACTAAGCATTTACTAGCCAAGATCAGGGTGAATGAAGAATCTTATGAATAAAGCCACATGCTTATGTACACTTCCTAATAATTTCAACCTACAAGTGGTAGTGTGCAAAACACAAGCCTTGCATTAAATCTTCAAATAAGTCCTGCTTCTACTCACATGGACTTCAGAGAGGCAAGCAACTCAGAGCTCTAGCTGTTCTCTGGCTACTATTTACTTAAAAAAAAAACACTGACAACAATATGATTCAAAATCCAGAGTCAGTGTATTGGCTACTCTGCAAATCTCTGGTATATTGTTATTATAAATGTGGAAATGTAGTGGTTAGTTGACCTTTGCTAGGTAGACAAAAGATCAAAATAGTTCCATTGATACTACTAAAAGTCAGGATCATTTCCAGTTTTACTTTGGCTAAACTGCTTGCAAATGAGTAAGAGTAGCACAGGTTGTAGTGGAGTGAATGTGGACATTGGGCCACATCTGTGGATTGTGCCAGAAATAATCTCTCATCTCCATCTGTTCTGGTGTCCATAGCTGGCAACAGCCGGGGGCCTAAAGTTGAGGGAATGTTTGCTGTTGGGAATAAATACCTAGACATTCAGTCTGAGGATCTGCCAGTCAACTAGGTCTTCTCAGATTCAGCCTTTTAAGTCATTGTAAATGGGAATATTTATCATAAAGCTGCTGCTTTTTTAGAAGGTAGAAGATCTCGAAGGTCTTGCATCTCGAAATTGTTTAAAGAAAATTTTGCCTATATTATTTCTGGGTTATTTGTATTTGCTTTTTTCTGTGTTACCCCGGGGCTTCTGAAGCACAGTGGGGCGTAGTTGAACCACGGATGACTCCTCATCTGAGAAAAGTCAAAGGAAATGGGCCCTGTTATGCTAATTTGTACTTCTATGGATACAATTTCTGTAAAACACATAAAGATCATTGAACATCTCTTCTCACATCCATGTCGTTTTGTGCATAATGTTATATAGAATGTGACTAGTTGCAATTTCATTTATTTTTCCCTATTAAACATGTAGATAGCACTGGGTCGGGTGATGGAAGTAAAGTAAATTTAGAACCTGATTCTGTTTATGAAAAGTCAAGTAACTGGTGTTATAATAGCTAGAATAAATAAATCTGTATGTTATTTAATCACTTTACAGTTCTGTCTGGGGTTTTTGTACATGGTTTTGGATGTTTGTACAAGATAAACTTGTACATACGCAGAGATTGTTGTGTTATGTATTATAATGCAAAAATTCAAAAATAAACTTCAAAATAAAAGAATAAATACATTTTTTTTCTGCAGTGTGTTTTGATGTATCAGATTGGTGATGAATCTGGAAAAGTAATTTAGCAGTAAAAATTTACCCTAAAGATGACTGTTGAGCTATTAGGCTAATCCATTTTTTCTTTTGAATGTTTCTATGCATGGATGATGATAACTTGTATGTTGTACAAAGGTAGAATAAATATTGGTTTATTTAAGAATTATAACTAAATTCTAGGTGAACAATTTAAAACATCCTCCCATGTTGTAAAAAGAACACAATGCTACAGCTTAAAGAAATATATTGAGAATTTTTTTTGTTTTTATGTCACACACTAATAAGTTGGTCTGAACTTTTTCTCCTTATCTTTTCCAATATACTATTTCACTTTTGGTAAGTTTAATTAAGAAGCTTTCTGTCTGATCAATATGCTATGACCTACCGCATAGGCTTTTTGTGAGTCTTAATTTGATATTTCATTGAGAGAATAATAAGGATATTCTTCCAGCTTCATTTGGCAGTATACTTTAAAATATTCAGTAACATTTTTCACTACAAAATCTTTTTAATTCAGTTTTCCAAAATGGGCAGAAGAACGGCTGAGTCTGGAGTTGTAAGCTATCATGTAAATTGATTTCTTACTGTTCCCTCCCCAATCTTCCATTCCACCTTGACCTGAACTTGGATGCAAAGGTGTGATTTTATCCTGTATTTTTATTTTTATTTTTCTAGATTCTGTAGTATAAAGATGAAGAAAGCTTCTGATTTCATTGAAGCTGTGAAAGAACAAGAGGGGTTGAGTCATTCTAGTAGTGGAAAATGCCCCTTATTAAATCTAAACTAGGCCTAGGAAGTTTGTTTCTAAAGTGAGAAACGTTTGCCTGTAGATTGAGCTTGAAAGTATTCTGAAATTTGGCATAATTTATGGAGACACTCGAGACAGAGATGGCACTCAAAGGAGAAAAGATAAATCCCATTGCATAACCAGATATGTGTTCCTGCAGATTTCCATATTCACATATTATGAAAACAAATAGCTAAGTTCAAAATTCAAAAGCAGCAAAAATAAACATACTATCTTGAATTACCTAGCAATAGTAAGTCAAATCAGTATCTAAAATTAAAATCCAGTATTTCTTTTTTCCAGTAGTTAGAAGAAACAAGGCTTTCACATTTCTTGAAAAAGTCTGATCAAGTGACTTTTTCTCACAGATACTCCTAGAACACAAAATCATTGTTTGAAGGCTCATGCAGCAATATACCCTCCAGTCTTACGGACAGTATTTTTAAAAC